TGTAGCGACATAATGTTGACACAAGTATGTGATTTATAAAAACAAAAATAAAAATTTTTAAGATGTTCTCTTGAAAATTAACAAATTCAGAACAAAACTTTGTAGTGAGGATAATCCTTTTATTATAAATTATGACTTATTCTTATTTAGTATATAAAAATCTGATACGAAGCAATATATAATATAAATGACTTGGCATTGCAATAATCCAACATGAGTCAACTAACAATTTTTATTTGGCGTTATAATAATTACTAACAAACAAACAATTGCATGTTTACTAAATTCGGTACTACAATTATTGAACACGATAGATCAACCAACAATTACACATTTTCTATATTCGGATTAGATTATTAATAACTTGTTGAAAGACGTATTTAGGCACCTATTGCTATATTTAAGCCAGATCTACAAATTTAGAATAACCGTTACTTATACATTATCACGAAGTGCAGAAGTGTAATCCCAGGGTCCGCTTTTTATCACATGATTGATTCTCTACAATAAAGAATACATGTTTCGGACATAATGTTAAATCGGGTTAATAACCATTATTTTCATTTAAAATTATCCGGTCCAAGATAAGCAAATCCAAGATGTGCGTAGATATCCTATATCTAGTTCCATACTTATAGACTATGTTGTTATTATATTAACTCATAATTAAGATGCAATAGGCACAATGAAGGTACGATGAAGATACGATGAAGGTGCGTTGAAGGTGTGATGATTTTTTTTCTTATAAAAATATATGGAAATATTATATCGTGAGTGTATCTCAGTTGGGTATCGTTGAAATTAAATTTTTGTGATGTGGACCGATGAACAATTACGCTTATTGATTGATGAAAGAAAAAATCAAAATATGGATTATTATAACATTTCCGGTAGTAGTAGGGTAGACTTTTGGAATAGTATAGCAAATACAATCAACGAACAATTCGGAACTACCTATACAGGACACCAATGTAATAGATTTCAGAATCTTGTTAGAGATTACAACATAGGTGTTAAACTCTATATACTATTTTAACTATGACATTTTATATAATAGTATTTCTAATGCACTTTTATATTGGCTGTGTCACCTCGCTAAAACTTTTTTTAGTCGATGTGTTTATACATAGCTAGGAGCAAAACTGGAAAGAGAAGCAGAGCAGGTGAACTATATTTTGAAGAATTTAATTCTCATTTTTGGGAGAGACCTGGTAAGTTCACCTATGATACAATCTATCACCGTAGTAGTAAATATATAGATATCATATATATAAGAATATAGAAACTCTATTCGATATATTGCATAATGCAAACACATCTACCAGAAGACGTCGCCGTAACCGTACCCCATCACCAACTTACAAAGTGCCATCAATTCTAAGTACGAGTCGCCGTGAATCCACCACCAATCAAAGGAATCGATCTGCGTCACCCACCCGAAGAGTTCCTAGTAGAAGGGATGAGAATAATAATCGAGATAATGTAAATGATGTGTGTAGAGATTTAGGTAATAACACAAATGATGCGGGTAGAAATTTAAGTAATGTGACATACTCATCTTCATCTGAGTTAATAAATATTACCTCGGCCCTTAATTTATCTGCATCACAAAATGATAGCAATTTAAGTATACCTGATATAGAAGGGCCACTGGAATCTATAAATAAGAAAAGTTAAATTTATGGCTGTTAAATTTGATGTAACATGAATTCATAAAATTCATAATTAATTCAGTAAGATATATCGATATAATTACTAATCAAATAATTAGGAGAATTAGAATGATAATAATGATAAATTGCTATCAAATAAAATAGATAGGTGTTAGTAGTATATTTCGTATTAAATCATGTATTAGCAATAAGTATATATAGAATAAATATTTTCCTTTGTTAATAAATCGTTGTTTTATTTGTACTATTGATATTCGTGACCCCGCAATTTTATTAGTTTCAAATCATTATTGCCTTGTTGAATCTCTGATTGGTTCCAGAATTACCTGTTAACATATATCACCATGAACTTCTCGTGCCCAGCAAAGTGAAAGCTTGAATTAATAATATTAGAAGACTAGTACTAAAAATTAATTACAAGAGAAAATACTATACCTGTAAATACAAGACAAAAAAATCCTTATTACTCGGGATAATTCTTTCCACACCTCAATCGAAGCCTTCCACTATAAGAAGTTCGAGTCTTGTTACTATAAAATCACACTAGATATTATATTAACTTCTTTGAACTATCCATGTAACCACACCTTCGAACTATCGCTATTATAAACATGTATTAACAGTATTTCAGATGCAGAGCATTTTCTTTCCAAGAGACAGTGGCTTAACAGCAGTTATCTAGAATTTAATACATACTTGTAAACATATATGTGCACTATTTTAACATAACCACGTCGCTAGTATTTATTATGTGTTATAATATCATATAATTTAACAGTCCCACGGGTCCACTTTTCTGCGATCACTTAACGTCAGATTTATCAATTCGAATGTGCAATAAAAACTTGACCGGCTTTAATAATTATTGGCCTGCATTAAATTTTATGCGGTATTATCTTAATTTCTCATGGTTGATTTTTGATAACGAATATCTAGAAAGCCTTTTCTTATTATATATGATATTGTGATAAGAAAAAGCGTGGAACTCTGCAAAGCAGGACACTTTGTGTCTAAAAGGGTTATAATAGAGAAGAGTACAACTTTCTTTATCAGTAGTTTTATCGAAATTTATATGTTACTAGGACTTGGAATCTCCACCATTCCCAGATCGTTAACTTTTTTCACTTCGTAGTAGCGATTGTCAAATCTAAGGGGTTTAATTTCACCTAAAAAATGACGAAATGGATTCAGTATTTGGAACTTATAGCCAAACGGGGTTGCTTTACATAGCTGGATCTGGTATTGTGTTAGGGTAATGCAATTACTAATCATGTAACTTTTTTTTCTGGCAGGTTTTTCAGATCTAGCAAATGGACGGTATAAAAATAAGCGATTTTTTGTTTCTTGTTGGGTGGGTTATAATATTTTTTGCTCATATATAATATTTTTTACTTAATTCACTTGTAATTTATTTCTAACGTATATATTTGTTTTATATGGAGGGTTTCGACCTACAATTGTTTTCTAGGATGACTACTAGGGCGAAACCTTATTCATTATGATTTTTTATTTTTAGGAACGCAAAATGAGCAGTACTAATAATTCTAACAATCCAACACCATCTAACCCAGCACTGTCCAACCCAGCACCACCTAATTCAATATCGTCTAACCCAGCACCGCCCAACCTAGCACCACCTAACTCAACACCATCTAACCCAGTAACATCTAATCCAAGGTCGTCTAATCGAAGACCCCAATACAGTAATAGAACTTGTAAGTAAATTTTATATTGCGTAATTAAGTTTGTATTTTTCTGGAATGGGTTTTGAGTATTTCTCTGAAATATAATTTTCTGTTATATTAAAATCAGATAATGACTCCCTCTACCCTATTTTGAGAGAAGCCATAGAAAATTATAAAAAAAATGATGACTGGAGTGTTATAAATCCTGTTCATGCAGATAACTATCTATAATCATACCCCCTATATCATTTTTTTTATTTTTTATTATAAAATTTTTTTTTTATTTGTATGTTATATTGTTGTTCCGGCAACATTTTTATGAAATAAAGAGGGGTCCCGTGGCCTTGCCATTTTTTATTTTTATGTGTATCTGACTAAAACTGTAATATATAACTAGCAAAGTGTTAATTATTTTTTACGAAGTAGGGCATTTGTACCTGGTTATGCCTAATTAAAAATTTGTATGAATTGAGTATAGATTTTCTCCCATTCTTCCATAAGATCATCGAGCCATGCAGTACTCAAACCACTTTTTAGTATACTGCGACGTAATAACTCTTCACCGACTAGCCTCTCATGATCAGTTAAAAATTTATGATATTTTCTAAGGTCTTCTTTTCTTTCTATTCCACCATGATAGAAACGTATATCTCTTTCCAAATCCCTACGAAAACATCCCATGGTCCACCTATTTTTCTCAGCCTCTGTAATAATCGAAAATTTATTCCAGGTTCGATGGCATACTGATAAAGGTGATTTTTGTTTGGCGCCATTACCTGAGTTTTCCAACGAGCTGTCTTGCATGATATGATTATCAGCATTTTCTCTTTGTGAGGATTCAGAAGTTTCAGACTTTATCCAAGGATCCAGTCCAGTCTCTTCTGTATATGCTCTATATAATCTAGAATGAATTTTTTCTGTCTGAAAACTTGATAAATCAACTAAATTAGCATGCCATTTGCAATAGTCATCAGTTAATATCTTGCTGAAGGTAGTATCAGAAAACATGTTATCATTTTATATTAATGCAGCTTAATTCAAAATCACGTAGCTGTCAAGAGCAAAGCGCGAAGTAAAAAATATCACTATTCACTTATCCAAGTTTATGAAATTATTTATTTATGCTGTGATCTCAATTTCATGCCCCCCACATTTAATAAAATAGGTTTCAGCTTCATATCTACCTCTTATACTTTTCTCATCCTTATAACTCGACTTGCATGCTGGACATAACGACTTATCAATAAGTCCATAATAATCGAATTTTTCGCTACTAAATTCTTTATATATATCAGGATACTGGCCTAATATTTTATTATGAAAATAAATGCGGTCATGAGCTGAATTATTCTGTTTTTCAGGTAAAGTCTTCTTTGAGTTTTTCCTATTCTCAGGATTATTTATTTTTTCAGATAAGACTTGATATCCTTTCTCTTCGGGCGATGCACTTACCCCAATATTTGATATATCATTTGAACTAGATGGTTCAGTCATGTGTGCGTAACAATTTGTCATGCAGATCATATCTGTTGATGACTTGGGAAAATCGTTTATGAGGTTTTGAATTTAAATATCCTTTAGACTCAAAATAGCACTTGCGCTGTAAGTTATTTGACTAATTTTATCAATTCCTACTCCTTCATAGAATATATATACTTTTTTTGCTCTGGAAGTTATTTTACACAAGTTTATATCAGTAATATTGGGAAGGAGAAATTTGATTTCACTATATACTATCGTTCTTGCTAATTGGTCATCAATATTATTCGCAGACTTAACATCATTAACTCGATTTTTGTATGCTTTATAATAACAATACCAGCACAGACTTTCTTTTTGTCGAACCTTCATTGCTACTCTAAATAGATCAACTATATTTTGCGATGTAACCTTACCAGATCCTGTTAAAATCGCTTCTAAAGAAAATTCAGGAATTTGAATATCAAATACTTTATTATTCTTGTGATTATTATCTTTGGTGCAAATAAATAGCTTGAGTTTTAAACCTCATTCTACTTTTTGATTATAAGGAATTTTCTGATTAGGCAATAGATTAATAGGTGACTTGGACTCAGAGCTTATTTCTGAAATATTTAGATTTAATGAGTCATAAATCCAAGGCTTTGTTTCTTTCTCACTTACCTCTGTTGAATTCTTCGGATTCGTTTCCAATGTAACAGTTTTTACATTATATAATGAATTAAACTGTTCTGATGAATTATTATCCGAAGATAAACCTTGGGATCTAAGCTTCTTTTCCCGATTTCTTTCTCTTATTACATTACTAATCCGTTCTTTATGTACCTGATCCAGAAATTTGATCTCTTTATCTTCTGGTGATTTAGATTCTGTATAAATGGATGATATGGAGCATTGAATCTTCGACCCCTAATATACATCAGAACTTAAAGCGTCATCAGTTATATCAGATGCAGAAGTATCATCCTCTAACAATTTTATAACAAAGTCAGGTATATTAACATCATCTTCAGATGAATTGTCGCCATTTTCTAATCTATCTACAGTATTGCATTGCTTTTGCTCCAATTTTACAAATCGCTCTTCATTTCCTTTTGCTAACCGTTCTAGTTCCATGATTCTTGCATTGAGCTCAGCATCTCTTAATTTTGCTTTTTCAGCATTTTCTTCTATAATCTGTTTTAGCTCAGTCTCAAGTGCATTTTTTTCTTTTACTATTTGTTCTAATTTTGCGATTCTGGTCATAAGCCTAGCATTTTCTAGTTTTAATGAATCAACTTCAAATAAGTCTTTAGATTCGCTTCTTTGAGTTTGCATGTTTAATGTTAATTTATATAACATTTGAAAAAAGAATTTTACAGTACACGTTTTGAGAAATATTTTTTCTTGATAGTTAATGTTTTTTATTCAAATAAAAATTGTGTGTATGACAATTTGTCACGCTGATCACTTTTGCCAAGAAAATTCTCAATCATACAGTATGCGAGTAATATACATCGAAATTATACAATAAAATAAATTCATGAAATATACACGCAAAAGTAAATTGATTATTTATATGAAATTGAGCCACTAGGACCAGCTTTATTGATATGATATAAAGTAGATATATCTATAAAATAAATATTTTTTTTATACTTACATATAGGATAATAAATGTCGGGATAATGCTGAAATCGGATAATGCTGAAATTTGGGGTCTCAATTTAAAAATATAAATCCGACTAAAACCCACCTATATACTCTTTTATTATAAACCCTAACCATAAAAAAAGCTAAAAAAACACCCCTAAAAAACTTTAAAATTTCATATAAAAATAAGTTAAAATTTCAGCATCATCCGATTTCAGCATCATCCCCGATAATAAATAAGCTTGTTCTAATGCCTGCATTAGTAATGGTGATCGTGGAGTTATTAACTATCCATCATAAAGAGGCACATCTTCTCGAGCCTGTGGAGAACAAATGGCTATATTATATAAAGATGAATCGACTTTTTCTATAATTTCATTAAGGGCACGGATATGGTTCCGTAGAGTTGCCTACATATTTAAAAATTCTATTAATTAACCAGAACATATGCTGTATATATCAATTTTCTATGTTTCATCAAAAGATGATTGTCTTACTCTCAACTTCCACAATTCATTCATAAATTCGGTAAGTGAAGACTGTCTCCGATTCATCGGAATTTGTACTGAGGCAAGACGTTGAACAAAGTAGAAAGCACCAAATGGCATAGTCATAACCCAACATGCCAAAGTTCCACCTAAAACCGAAGGGGTTATTTCTAAGTAAAAAAAAATGATCGAATATGATTTTACGTACCAGCAACTTGAATACCAAACACTGGAACCTTATTTAGCTCTTCTTCTAAGTCTTTCATTTCCCCTGCTCTTCTAGTAAGCTTCCTCAACAATTTCACATGGGCATCCTTCATAAGTTTTATCAACTTATCCTAGTCTTCACGAATTTTTTTATTAGTAGGAAGAACTCGTGAAGCTTCCATAAGACATATTTCCACTTCATCAACTATTAATGGTGACTTTATACGAAAATCAGGCTTATGCCCAATTCTTGTTTCCCCGGAATCATCCATCCGACGTTGGGATGCTTCCGAGACTTCTTCAGCCCTGTTATAATATATAATACATTTTTTTATTTTATATAAACAAAACCCATATCCTTTATTAAATAATATTTAAAAAAATACCAGATAATTTTAAGTTTGGCATTTTCATAGCAGAATAATGGACCAAGAAAGCTTGATACTATTCGAATAATATACATTCCCTCCGTATATTCAGCCTTATTTTCGTCTTTAAAGTGGCACCAGATATGTCGTCTACAAAAACAAAAAAGATTAGAAATTGATTGATTTACAGGTTGAGAAGCTTAATTACCTACATTGAATCTATAATTCTATACATCACATATATATCTTCAAATTCCTCATCATTTCCTTGAAAGTCCATCGATATAGGCGGAAGAGAAACCATCATCTCTCTTTTGTTTAAACTTTTCGATCTTTCTAATAGAACTTTAACCAATTCAGAAATAATTGGACTTATTTCAAATTTATGATATGGTAAATCTAAGATTTCTCTTAAATTCTTTCTCTGATCTTCCGGTAACTTTCCAAAAATCATATCAGAGTCTCTATCGATAATACAACCAAAACTAAGAGGATCCGTCCATTCAATATTATCAACACCATATGATTGAAAGAGGCTCCTTAACTCATATAGTAACAACGAATATGGTGATGTTTTTTCTCGTATTAAATCGTTCTACAAAAAAAAATATATCGAATCAGGAAAAATAAAAACTTAGAATAATTTATATACTGAATATATTACCAATCGTTTCTCAATTTTTTGCTTGTTTGATGATACTGGGTTTATTTCGGTTGAGCTTATGAATTTGAGAGAAACCTATAAAACATGTAGAATATATTTAATGCTAGTAATAAGATATAAAATAGTTGTATTACCCAAACTAACAATTGATTCCATAGCATCGACCGTTGAAATATACTGAGTTCTTTGTCTGCCCTTTAAAAATAAATAGATATTGTAAGTTAATATATGAAAATACTTTATCACGCTTATTATTGTACACATTCAATCAGATCGTTCATACACCACGAACGGCCATCGGGGCCCAAACCTCAGTGTGAGTCGGTGGTGTAAAATCCATTTGCAGGATAAACGAACGAAATGTCATCATATTTAATATTATGGGTTGAGTAAATTATTCAAACAATATTTATGTCTGTAATTTTATCAAATCCTTCATAAGCTTCTCGAAGAATAGTGCTAGACTTGGCGGTGTGACGCAAAGCTTTCTCACAGGCCAGCTTATATATTTGAAATGTATCACTCATACAACCATATCGCCCACCATTTGCATTAATTGTATATCCGAACCATGAAGCAAAACGCGCTTTTCTGGCTTTATCGCAATTATTCTCCAAGTACCCAACACCAAAATCTTTCCAGCCAAGGTACTTATATTCCTGTTCCATTATTATACGAAGTTGCGAATAGATTGGTTAGCTTGAAAAAAAAAGAATTAAAGCATGTAAAGAAATCACTAAAAAGCGACAAATAACAATAAATTCGAGATACTGCCCTTTTATATGTTTTTCTTTCACCTCTTCTCTGAAACTCAAATGTTAGAAAGGTTAGATAGAAGCAAAAACATGCGCTCTTACATCAAAAAATTTTCTACGATAGAAGTTGAGGCATGTATTTCCACGCAGAGAATTTCTATAAATTATGTAAGTGTATGCATCACGAGTTATAGAGGTCAAAATCGTTAATTGACCGACTTTGGTTAGGTACTAATTCCAGAGAAATGAAAAATGGCAATTTCTACTTGTGCTCCGTCTCACAAATTAGCTATGCATAACAATAACGATAAGCCCCTATTTTCTCATAAATTCGAAAATATATAAACTACGTAATTAGAATATTTTTTAGATAAGGTTTCACATATCTCTACTCCGAAAAAATTTATTTTTGAGGAGGGGGGTGATACGGATAAATTTTACATGAGATAATGATAAATCACGAGATGATCAGCCAAACAAATTTCGGATTTTTTTCTTTAGCTGGATAAGCATAATGGGAATTTGGGCAAATGATTATGAATAAAATGCACATGCAAAAAAATATATTATTTTTCTATGGTAGAGTCTGGACAAGCTTGTCCGAGCTCATCAAAATTGAGCAGAAGCTGGATCAGCATCTGGTTAAATTTATCTCCCAAAATAACTGTGCATTTATGACTAGATTTTTTTTTTTGATGGTAGAGTCTAGACAAGCTTGTCTGAGCTCGTCAAACTGTGCAGAAGAATAAATGAATCATGTATGTCAAGTGATAATTTATAGTGCAGTATTTCACATATTTTACGAAATTATTTATTGCACATCACACAAATAAAAATGATGGCTGAGGCTGGACAAGCTTGTCCGAGCTCGTCAAACCTTATGCATTAAGATTTCAGCCATTACATATTTGGTTTCATCCGCAGTTAGATTTAAGATGAATGATAGGAGGATAGATTTAATCCGGGCTATTTTTTCTTTCCCAATGCTATTAAAAAGCTTATAAATTTTTTCAGATTTCTCTGTCCTTTTTCGCAAAGCTTCATCAGAGCATTTTGTCTCGGGAATTGTCACCCTAACCTCTTTTTTAACTATCGCTTCAGATCCATTCTTGCCAAACTTGGGTTTTAATTCCTTGTATCATTTAAATACAGCTTCTCCAAAATTAAAATAACTGAAAATGAGACCCCGAGATGCTTCTTTGTTTTTAGTTTCAGCATGATCAATCCTTTCAGAGAGTTGTAAAAAGTTACTTACGCTTTCACTTGTTTCTTCCAAGCTCCTACCACTATCAGGAATCTCGGTTAATAATTCTTCGATAAGTTGTTTTATTGTGCTTGATACCTTCTTCCCACCAGTTTTTTTTACTTTTTTGCTAGACGATTTTTCAGTAGATGCAGATAATTCTCTAGTACGTTTTTTCTGGGTAGTCTTATTAAGTAAGGGTAATAATGGTGATACTGCCATTGGAGAACCTAATCCAAAGTCATCGCCTAACATTTCTGCAAAAGCAGAAGTTCCACTAAACTGAGATGATGATTTGGAAAACCTTCGTTTAGATACTACTAGATCAATGATTTTATTACAATTAGATAAAGGGCATTTGTTTTCTGTTGTAAGTAAAAATTTTTTTTTTATATATTTTCTATGATATATATGTTCACATGAAAGTATTGTAAATAACAGGTGTGGTGACTTAGTGTAGTGGTCTAGTCATCACCCTCTCCAAGTGGCAGGTTTAGAGTTCAAATCTCACAGACGACGAATTTTGAAAAATAGCCTGTATTACGGTTTACGGTTGTAGATTATCGGTTGGATCTAGAAATCTGTAATCTCGGTCATACTATCTAGTTATGGGAGCTTTGCGCAATAAATCCGAGGAACCGGAATAACCGAAAACCTATTTGGCAAGTCCCGAGTTTGGAGATAGTAGTGATCTATGACGGTACCACAGAAGGGCTGAATTCGAACTGGGGCCCAAGATCAGAGAACCGAGCAACCAGGTCCTAATAGCGGAGGACACATCAGCAGAACCGTCGGGTTGTCGCACTGGAGGAAAAGGATATATGCTTCGAAAGTATGGACCAAGAGGAGGGCGTCCTTCAGGCACCTAAAGCCTGGGCAGACCAACCCTTCCGGGTTGCCGGCTGGAAGTAAGGGAGGGACC